TTTTTTATGGAAATGAAGCTAGAAGAAAGCTGATACACAGGGAGGCCAAGAGATGGACTTACTAAATCCAGTTGAAGAACAGGTTGAGTGGAAGTGAAAGAATGAAAGAATTAGGAGCATAGGGTATTGTGACCACAAAATAAGTAATTAAAGTTATAGATTTCAGAAGTGGAACAGTCCTAGATATTGATGAGTTCCAGGATGTGTTTGGGTATCAGTAATTAAAATGGTGGGGATAGAAGGTAAGGAATCTGTACAAAAATGAATTTGATGGGTCATCCACAGGAACACTGAAGTGACATAAAATGGTGGCAGAAATTGGAGGGGTGTGGAATAACATTTACAGAAATCTGACTGAAGGCATCTTTAGTAAGGATTGAGGGAAGAAGGAGAACAAGATATCAGGAATGGTGGTTAGGTCTTCAAGGATACCATACCTTTTGGTAATGAGAATTTACAAAACATCATTACTATTACTATCAATTCTAATCCCACCCACTGCCATCAAGTTGATTTTGACTCATACTGACCCTTTACAACAGAGTAGAACAGTCCCATAGGGTTTCCAAGGTTATCTGTAAATCTTTAAAGAAGGAGAGTGCCTCATCTTTCTCCAGTGGAGTGGCTGGTGGGTTCAAACCACCAACCTTTTGGTTATCAGCCATATGCTTTAACCACCAAAGCTTTTTCAATTCTAATAGACTTATCTACATTCAAAAGTGAGTAATAGTTAAACCAAATATAAATATCTCAGAGATTATCTAGTTTGCACTCACATGAATGACTGAAAATTACAGTTAGTTACATTTTTGACCAACAGTAGTACTAGAAAAACTAGCTGTACTTAAGTGTTTGGAAGGAAAAATGGCAGTGCTTCTGTTTTCCATTTTCTTGATCAGATTTTACTTTATTGCACTTCTGGATACATTGATTTTTACATACACCACATGCCAGATGAATATAGCAATGTGCTATAAATAGTAACTAGTTTAAACTATTTAAACTGTTGGCAATCCCTTGGCAGCACAGCAGTATGTGTGGGAATGGACACAAAATGTGGGGTTGCACCTAGAAGTCGGTCCCTGTGAAGTTTGAGTAGGAATCCTTTGGGAAGATTAAAAAAAAAAATAGCCCAATACTTCATAATTGGCAGGCTACCAAGGAATGGGGAGTGGTGCTGGGAAGGGGTAAAGAATTTGAGTGGGCGATAGACTGAGGGAGCAATAATGATTGGGTGGAACAGAGAGCTGACAAAGATGCAGGTGGAGATAGCCTAAAGGTGTCACTGAGGTGGAGTTTTATGGTTATCTGAAAAGTGGGTAAATAAAAGGGAGACCAAACATGCCCAGCGAATCATGGCCACTGAGTCTGCTTCAATAGTACCAACTAAGGAGGCAGTTTCGTGTTGTCACAACAATGATGATTTCACAGCATGGGTTGAAGATAGTAAGGTACAGAGTGTATTCTGGGCCCCATCAGTCTTCAGGTGAGCAGAATGCAATGACAGATGCATGTTGTTGTTGGTATGTGCCGTCGAGTGGGACCCAACTCATAGCGACCCCTTCTTAGCTTGCTGAGGTGGTATCACTACGGAAGTAGATTGCCCAACCTTCCTTCCAAGGAGTGGCTAATGGGTTTGAACAACCAGCCTTCTGGTTAGCAGTCAAGTGTCTTAGGCACTACGCTGCTAGAGCTCTTTTAAACCCAACTCATAGCGACCCCTCCTTGGGTTTCCGAGGCAGTATCACTACGGAAGTAGATTGCCCCATCTTCCTTCCGAGGAGTGGCTGGTGGGTT